TTTTAAAGTTTTATTGTTTAACTGTATTCAGATGTAATCTACAAATCTATTAAAAATAATTGATCATAATAGATCAGTCATTTTTAGGGGATTTTTTGAGCAACAAAATTACTTCCATAATACGTGAATTTATTTGTTCGTGTACTCATATATTTAATGTTTAAGGGCACTAGTTGAAAGAATTCCAAAACTGCCACTTAAAAATATACATATATGATAAGTAGTTTGTCAATTTTATTAGCTTAAATCAAAAAACGTTTATCATACGTTTTTGCAAAAAATATTTCTTGTTATCAATATTATATAATTTTTATATCAGGTACTCTAGATCCATTGAAACAGTTAACTATAAGTGTACCAATAGGACAACTGAAAATCTTGTCCTAAAAGAAATAATTATGGTTACTCCAACAGAAATCTTGTGTCTTGACCTACTTTAATGAAAAGTTTTAAAAATGACTAACATTAATTATCCCACAAAATGAAATCTGAGGTATCTAAGTGTGATCATATTGCTATGACTGCAGATGGATTCGTCAATTTTTAAAAAGTAAATATAATATTTATTTATATTTACTCAACAGATTTTATCGGTATTAATATAGTATTGTATTTTGTTAGATCATACATTGGGATAATAAAAGAGGATTTATTAAGAACTTTTAGCTCTGAGAACATTAGTAGGGTCATATACATACAGTAGGGCTCAAAAGTATTTTGACAAACACGTTAATGGCGATTTAAAAAAAATCTTAAGAAACAAAAAAAAATACAAAAACGTTAGTATAAACATTGGAAATTAGCTTTATTGGAGTTTACCACGCTCAATAGTATTTTGACAAAAATAGAATCAACAAAAATAAATATTTTCTTAATAATTAATTAACAAAAAAACAAACAAAAACACAGAAATTAGTGATTGAAAGTTTAATATTTTTTATCCAACATGTTATCTTTTAGTATGTCAGCTTATTTAAAGCGGTCCATGATGCCTTCTATGTTGACCAAAGGGCCAGTACCAGCTCGCGAAAAGCATCCCCAAACCATAACATGTTCTCTGCCGTGTTTTACGGTTGGAACTTAGTAGCGGACATTGTCACAAGTGTTGACAAGACGTCTAACACATCATATTCCGTCTAATGAAAATATATTAAATTTACTTTCATCGCTAAATAGAATGGTCGACCACTGCTGTGTTGTCTAAGACTTGTACTTAATATCAAATGAAAGTCTGCCCTTCCGGTTCTTTACAGAAACCAATGGCTTCTTGCTGAGGCATCGACCATTTAATTTCCAAGTGGTTCAAGCGACGTTTTACAGTTGATATATGAACATTAACACCGTGTGAAATGTTTATATCGCCAGTAATGTCTACAGCTGTAAGGCGGGGATTTGCAACTGATCTCTGTCGAATGTCCCTATTAACTCTCTCGGTTGTTTTTCATGGCTTTTCCGATCTTTGAGCATTCTTTACTATGCCACGGGATGGAAATTGTTGCTTCCATACACTGACAATCTGTCTGGATAGTCCAAAATCTCTTGAAACACTGCTGCTCCACTCTTCACTAGAAAATGGTCGGCTACTTACTGTTTTGCAGGTCCATGCCATTTAGTGGTCTAAACTAATTGTCAAAATACTTTTGAGCGCTACTGTATGATATTTCAGCTAAAATTATAGATGATGTATATACAGTGTATATTATACACATATTGAAATTTCAAATAAATCATGTTATTGTACTACAGATAATGTTTTTAATTTTGTAAAATGTTACAAGTAATATTTATTTAAAATTAATGTAATTAATTATCTATATAAGTATTCATGTTGTTTATACTCATATTTTATATTTATGTAACATGTATAATATATAAAATATTAATTTTTTTTTTATTAATTAGAAAAATTAAATTTTGCTATTAAAATAAAAATAAAAAGTTACTTTTTAGATAAAATATTTTATTTACTTAATAATTTCTATTAAGGACTCTAAAAAAGTTTTGTCTAATGCTGCTTTAAAAAAAAAGTCCAAAATCACTTTTGCCAAGTCAACTGCTTTTTGGAACAAATAAAAGCGTTCAACCACGTTAGCTAATATAATCAAACAAAATCTTAGCTTTTTTTATTCCCAGTGACACCTTTGTGTTCTGGTACCCATTCTAGTGTTACTTTGTTGAGCTTCGATAGTGATTCTAAAGTTTCCCTGCATTCGAGGACAAGTTTTGAATTCACCTGATGGTTAAAGAGTGCTTTCAGAGCCGCTTGATTATCACTTAAGATAGTTATCTTCCTTTTTTAGTATACCAACAGTTCTGAGCCTCTACCAGTATCGCCAACACCTCTGCTTGGAAAACAGAGGGTGTTGTGCCAATTAACATGCTGAAATTTATTCGAGGCTTTAGACACCCAATTCCAGCACCTATCATTCCTGATTTTTTGGATCCATCTGTATATATTACAATATCATAAAAATTTGAATTAAGATATGTATAATTACATATTAGATCTCCTCATCGATTGGAATTGAGCTTTTTTTACAGCCTTGCAAAAGTTCAAAAATATGAGTTTCTTAAATTTTTTTCTAAAAGTATTTATCTTACAAAATAAAATTTCGTACAAAAGTTGTTTAAAAGATAATTTTAAACAAAAAAAGTTTCTTTTATTTTTTCATTAAATCAAATATTTTTCGAGTTACATTACATTTAATATGAGTACTAAAATTAATATAGTACCGAATTTTAGAGATATTACATCTCAATATCTAAAAAAAAAAATTGTTCCCAATATCACGTTATTTCCATAACATGTGAAAAAATAAATGGTTATTGAAAAAAAAATTTAATTTAATATAAACGTTTTCTCTATTTTTTTTTTTTATTTTCAAGAGTACCGTTAAGTTATCATTGCTGTAAAAATCAGAATATAGTATATCAACCAAATCAGGTAGAGATATAAATTAAAAAAAAAAAAAATTAATAGCTATACCTTTAAACGATAATCAAATATTTTTAAATTACTTTTTATTATAAATAATTATAAATTGGTTATATTAAATGGATGATTTTGTGTATATTTGAATAATAATATCGTAGTTTCAGTGTTTTGATGTTAAATAATAATAATAAAAAAATATTATAAGTGCTGTTTATATTTTTTTATTGCTTTGTCATAACTGAAAGCAATTTTTCTTCTTTTTAAAATTAAAATTTTAACTTTTACAGAATAAAACATCACTATCTTCATAATTATCATTAAATAGCGATTTTTTCTTTTTGGCTCAATAATTTCATTTTATTTTTCAGTATAAGTTTTAACCAGTTGTTGCTGTATGTCTTTTAAATCTGAAATCTCTTTCTCTAATTTTCCTCATATCTTATTTTGTTAAAAATAGGAATAACAACAATGTTATAATAAGAAAACCTCATCTTAGAATAGAATTTTGTATCAATAAATATGATTTGCAATATCATAAATTGTTATTGATCTAATATCAAATAATATATATTTAAAACAATGTGACTAAAAGTCAAACAGTTTTATTTTTTTATTTTTTCGATTATCGTGATATTTCAAAAATAATCGATATCTTGGGAAAAATGAAAAAAGTCGGCGATAAAGTCGGAGTTTATACCATGTTTTATATTTTATTCAATGTCGGAGTAAAATCCTCGTAGTTATGGTAGCCTATGGTATCGGATGGTTGGAGTACCAGATGTTCGGAATAATCACTACTTTGTCAAATTTTAAAGTATGTAAATGTCGAAGCATTATCATTTCGAGGAAAGAGTTTTTTTCACTTTTTTCCGTGCTCATGTAATAGTAGGTTAACTCAAAAATTGTTAATATTATTAAGCTTTTTATTTTTGTAATTTGAAGTGAATTCTGTTTTTTTGTGCAATTTTTTGTTAAATGTAAGAAAAGGCGTTATTTTTTCAAATTTTGTTTTATTAAGAAGCTAAATTTATGCTATTTTTAGTATATTGTCTATAAGAATTGTTATATGTTGTAATTTGTTTTATTTTTGTACAATTTGTTTCAGGTTTTTGTAACTGACTAGTGCGCATTATCTTTCATCCGTATTTCTGTGAGTTATTTATTGTTAATAATGTTAGTTGTGTTATTACACTAGTAAAAATACATTTAGGTGGTGATTATTTTTAATCAGAGTGTGCGCTAAAATCATCATTTAATTATTCATTCAGTTTTGGATAGTTGTAAGCATAAATGTAGAATGGTAAAATTTTTTTTTTTTGGTGAGGAGTCTGGAAAAATTTAATTTCTTTCATCCAAAAAATAATTTCTATATAACAATGTATATAATTTTGTTATATTTCCGAGGGGGCTATGCACCGCTAGCCATTTTATTCCTTTCCTGATTTCATAACAAAACTTAATACATTATACGATTTTCAGCTATTTACATTGTTATTATTCGTTAAACTTAAAATGAAATGAAATAATAGTTTTTTTACATCTCTATTTACAGTATAAATCATGTATACATTTTAAACATAATCTAATTTTTGAAAGAACACATAATGTATGTCTTGCCTTGAACAAAGATAATATTTTAAGATAATTTTTTTAAATGA